ACTTTCATCATTCTTAATATACTTACTAATCTGCACTGTCAGTTTTCTTTTCTCTTTTACTTTTTTCATTTGATGTATTTGGTACAGAGTCTCAGTATTCAGCTCGGACTCCAAGGTGGTCCTTCTGTTTTCAGCCTCGCCAGCACTGGGATTACACCTGTGTGCCACTATGGCCTGTCTCAGTGGCCAGTTTAGTGCACCCAGGAGTGGGGCCAGCAGGGGATGGAACCCCAGTCCCTGTACTTGCCTAAACAGGTGCTTAGTCAACTAACCTATCTCGCTGGCCTTTTTTCTTTTTTTAAATGTATTTAGTACAGGATCTCATTATGCAGTTTGGATTTGTAGTGAGCGTCTTATTTTCAGCCTACCCAGAGCTGGGATTACAGGGTGTGCCGTCACACCTGGACTCAGTTGCTGGCTCAACATGCCCTGGAGGGGGCATGGGCTGGCATGTCATGTGGTTCTGGGGACCAAACCCTGGTCTTGAGCTTGCCAAAGCAGGTGCTTATTCTGCTGAGCTATTTAGCCAGCCCTGTCAGTTTTCTTTTTACTTTTTTTTTTTTTTTTGCTGGTACTGGAAAATACCACTGAGCATTATCCCCATCCCCTAGAGTTAGTTTTCTTATTTCATAATATGAAGCAACCTCTTCTGTCCCTTCTGTTCTTCCCACCTTTCCCCCTTTGTAGCTGGTATTCTTGGGAACTCTTGGTTGCTGCCCTTCTACCCAGAACTTCCATCTATCATCTTCACAATGAGAAAGGGAGGGGAGAGGCAAATCTAGTAAGAATCACTGATGCAGTATTTCAACATAACATAATAAGTAGGAATGTAAGTAATTTTATCCAGGCAGAATATAACTCCTTTCAATAAATTATTCCCTGCAACCTGACTTTTGGTAGTTTTTTATTCTTTTTTATTACTGTATGTTTGTATATAATGGTTACATTTCTCCTGGTGAGTTAGCACATGTACATAACACATCTTAATTGTTTTTTTATCCCTTTTGCTTGTCCTCCCTCACCTCCCCTTCATCTCTTGGACAATGTCCATATGCACGAAATCTATTTCAACTACTTCCTGTTGTCTATCTTTTATTTTGTTCTTTATTTATATTTTGGGTTCCTCATAAAAGAGAAACCATGTGATATTTAAGCTTTTGTGTTTGATTTATTTCACTTAACATTATGGTCCCTCCAGATCACTCAGATTTATCCTTCTTTGTGGCAGAGTACTTCTGTATTCTGTTGTGTATGAACACCACATTTTCTTTATCCACTTATCTGCTGTTGGCCATAATAGGCCACTTCCAAGAATTATCGTGAATTGTGCTGCTATATAAACATAGCTATGTATGTATGATATGATGTTTTTAACTCTTTCACAAAGATGCCTTGGAGGGAAGAGCTGGGTGGAATGCAATTTCTATTTTTAGCTTTTAAAAAGACTTCCTACTGGTTTACATAATGGTTGTACTAGATTACATTCTAACAATAAAAAAGTTTTCATACAGCCTGACTAGAGTTTGTTATCTAAGACCAGCCACTGTTTTTTATCTAATTTCTTAATTATCATCATTCTTTCTTCAGTAAGATGGAATATGTATTGTTTTAATTTATATCTTGCTAATGGCCTATGATTTTGAATATATTTTAATGTATTTATTGGTCATTTTTACTTCTGAGAAGTGACTGTTTCTTTTAGTTGCCCATTTATTGATTGGGCCTTTGTTTGCGCAGAGTCTAATTTTTGAATTCTTCATGTATTCTATATGTTAGTTCATTATTTAAGGAATATCTGGCAAAAAAAATTTTCATGTTGTGGGTTGTCTCTTTCCCATGTTGGTTGTTTCCATGGCTTCACAGGAGACTTCTAATTTGATATGATCCCATTGTTGATTCTTAGTGTACCTTCTTGTGCAAGGAGGATTCTGTTCAGAAAGTCCTTGCCTTTGCCTATGCCTTCAAGAATTTTACCTATTTTATCTCCAGGTAATTGTTTCTGTTGTATTATTTAGATCATTGATCCATTTTTTTTACCTTATTTTGGTATACAATGAGACATATGGGTGTATATTTAATCTTCTTTATATTGATAGTCAGTTTTTGCAGTACCATAATGTTAAAGAGGCTGTTTTTGATTTAGTGTAAGTTTTTGGACCCTTTGTCAAAGACCAGGTAGCTAAATGTGCTTGGAATTGCTTCTGTGTCATTGGTTCACATATCTGTTGTTTGTTTTCCAATACCATCCTGCTTATTCACTGTAGCTTTGTAGGATAACTTAAAGTTAAAATAACTTATGTTTTTTATGTATTTAGTACAGGGTCTACAGGATCTCACTACACAGATTGGACTTGGAGTGATTCTCTCGTTTTCAGCCTCCCGGATTATCTGTGTATCAGTTTTTGCTTTGCTTTATTTTTATTTTTATTTATTTATTTATTTTTTTTGTGGTACCTGGAATTGAACTTAGGATGCTGTTCTTGCCAGGCAAGCACTTATTCTACTGAACTATCTCCCTAGCCCTTGTGTATCAGTTTTGGAAGTGTTCCCATTTTGACTATATTTGTTCTGCCTATCTGGGAATAAGATGGCTTCTCACATCTTATTCTAGCTTGTTTTTCAGAGTGCTGTATTTTTCATGTAGATGATGCAAACCACTCTGAGGTGGGACTTAGAAGACTATAGCATTAATCACTTGGCTTTCTACATTAGCTTGAGTCTGTCCCAGACCTAAATGACTTGCTTGATGAGCCAGAAACTGGCATGAAGAACTAGAACTCTCTAAGCTAATGGTCATGGTTGAGGTTTACAGTGGCCTGTGACACTATGACGTCTCAGCAGGCAAATTAGCACTGTAGCTAAGGACATAAAATTTCAGATTTTCAAGGCTGTAACTGCCAACTTCAGATATAAAGCAGTTCTTTCATTAAGCAAAGATTTACTACTTGGAATGTCTTTGATCCATTTTCACAAGGCCTTGCTCACTATTATTCTTATGCCTCAGTTATTCCCCGCACCTTCTTGTATCCCCATGATATGTTAAGGGCCTAGTAAATATTGGCAAGTTTGGAGAAGTCTTCATCTTAGCCACAAGAACTCAGACCTTCCTGAGTGCCCATGTAATATATTACTTTTACCCTTCACCATACACTCATCCCTAAGGTTGGGAGACTGGCTAGCTCTTGATAGTAGATAGCTTATTTCCTTGGTTAGGTTAATTCCTATGTATTTTAAGTTTTCATGATGTTATTGTGAAAGGTATTACTTCTATATTTTTTCCCTCAGTTAGTTTATTATGGATAAATGGGAACACTGTTGATTTTTTACTTTATATTCTACCATACTATTGAATTTTATTGTTAATTCTTGAAGTCTTTTAGTGGAATATTTTGGGTCTTATATGTAAAGAATCATGCCTTCTGTTGCAAATAATAGCTTGACTTCTTCATTTTGTATACATATCTCTTTTCTTTCTTTCTCTTTCCCGATTACTCTGGCTGTGTTTCAAGAATTATATTGAACATTAGTAGCGACAGCAGACTTCCTTGTCTTTTCTTGATTTTAGAAGGAGAGCTTTCATCTTTTCCCCATTAATGTGAAGTTGACGTGTTTGTCATAAATGGCTTTTATCAGATTGAATTAAGGTCCTTTGACATCTACTCTCTTCATGGTTTTCATCTTGAATGGATGCTGGATTTTTGTTAAAGACGTCTGCATCAGTTGAGATGATTGTGATTTTAGTCTTTATTTGCATTTATTTGAAGTAATGTGTTTATTGTTATGTGTATGTTGTTCCATGACTGCATTCCTGGAATGAATGTTACTTGGTCTTGATGTATGATGTTTTTAATGATTTACTGCATCCTGTTTTCTAGTATCTTCTTGAAGACTTGGTGTCAATGTTCATTGAAAGATTGACCTGTAGGGGGCCAGCGAGATAGCTCAGCAGACTAAAGCACCTGCTTAGGCAAGCTTAGGCAAACGCAAGGGGACAGCGTGGTTTGGTCTCCTACAGCACGTGCTGCCCCAGCCCCACACTCAGGGCGGGCTGAGCTTCCATAGTCCTGGCGTAGTGGTGCATACCTATAATCCCAGCGCTGGGGAAGCTGAGAACAGGAGGATCACTGAGTCCAAGCTGTATAGGGAG